CCTGGAAAACCAGCAGTGGCAGGGGGGGCTGGTACAGGGCCGGGGCCTCCTGAGATAGTCTCGAGGGATGAAGGTGCAGCCCCAAGGCCTAACAAGAGGAAGAAAGAAGACAGGAAACGGTCCAGCCGCCTTCAAATGTGGCGGTGACATTTCAGGAGGTAAATTGATTAGTCTTGGTAATGATCTAGGGAACAGAAAGCAGCTGTTTATTAAATTCCTTAAGAAGACATTAGAGGGACCAGCAGCATAATGGTTATGTCGCTGGACTCCCACGTAGTCGACCGCGGTTCTAGTCCCGGACCCAGTGGCTTAAACTCACGCTGGGCACGTGTTCGTGCGTGCCAAGATCCTGAGAGGAGAATGGAGGGAGAAGGGATTGCGGTGTGGCCATCCCCCCTGGGGGGTGATTTCTCGCTTTTTGTCTCTCTGTCTCACTCTGTCTGTCTGGCAAGCGCACGCACCCTACAGTCAAAACCTCTCCCCCCCAAAAAAGAATACATTAGAGATCACCCAAAATGTCTTCTTTAATGTGCTTTTGTGGGAATGGGAGAAGAGCGTAATCCAGGGAACACAGTTAACCTAGCTACTGTCAAGCGTGCGAGGGAGATTGCGATCCAGGTGGTAAAGGAGACTGCGAATAGCAATGTTCCATTATTTTTAGAGAGGTGGTTAATTCGTAGGTACAAATGTTTAGGACAGTGCCTGCCCCATCATGAGCACTGGACCAGTGCTAATTACTGTAGTAGTAGTGGTTGTTGTAGTCACTAAGATTTTAAGAAGTAGAACTTGTGTAGCATGTCTATGATCAGAAAACATGTATTTTAAAAATGGGGAGCAGCTGGTGGTGTGGTGGTTAAGGTGGCTGAATTCTGTATGGCTGACTGTGTGGTTCAAGTCCCAGACCTGGCAACTTGAAAAACATGCTGTGTGTGCCCCAAATCCTGAAAGGAGGCTTAAATGGGGGAGAAGGGATTGTGGTGTGACCATGTCCCAAAAGGGAGATACTTTCTCACCCCCCCCCACCTGTCTCTCTCTGGTATGTGCACGTCCCTACCACCAAATTAAAAAAGAAAAAAAGAAAAAAATACAAAATGGAATTTTCTCTTTCTTTTTTTCTTTTTTTTTCTTTTGTGCTATAGGGTGCGCAAAATGGAATTTTCTGTCAAGGAGCTTAAGCCTTGGAAATAGCCTTTGTCCTGGCTGGAAAAGTGCTTTTCCACTTTGTTGTTGGGTCAGGCCAGGGTGCAGCGGAAGTCCCAAACTCGCGGGGCTCCAGAAGGAGGGGTCTTTGCCATCGGGACTTCTTTGAAAGACTCACTGGCTTTATGTAAAGTGAGATTGAGTATTAAAATAAAATTGTGTGTGCTTGTTTCAGATGTGAGGCCTTCAGGCTCCAGTTTTTTTAGGGAATGGTCAGGTGATCAGAGTTTATGACAAGGTGATGCCAGGCCCCAAGACGGAGATGATCCCAAATACTCTCTCAGAAGTCCCTTGCCCTGCCCACAGCACTGTCTCCTCTCGGCACATCTCTGCATTTCAGCTTTCAAGCTTGAACTCGACTTCACTCGTGATAACCCTGCTGACCCCACCACTGTGCACTGAGCAATGTCTTTCCTTAGCCCTTCTCAGACTGTTATGTCTATCCCATAGAATTTAGAGTGACCAGTTAACATTTTATTGGTAGTACAGGAAGTGAGTCCAGAGTGATACCCATCATTACGTAGGACAATGTGTGCTTTGCATATTTTGTCTCATTTAACCTCCCAATGACATATTGTCCCCGTCTGCAAGCTCATTAATCTAGCAGAGAGAGTACAGTTACAGGTGGGAACCCACAACACCAGACCCTGGGAGCTGGAACCCATAACCCCCTTCAGTGTCTAGCTTCTTGCTTAGCCATTTTTAGTCGCCCATCATTACGTAGTACAATGTGTGCTTTGCATATTTTGTCTCATTTAACCTCCCAATGACATATTGTCCCCGTCTGCAAGCTCATTAATCTAGCAGAGAGAGTACAGTTACAGGTGGGAACCCACAACACCAGACCCTGGGAGCTGGAACCCATAACCCCCTTCAGTGTCTAGCTTCTTGCTTAGCCATTTTTAGTCTTTGCTCTTTTCCCACCCATTAGCCTTGTTGTCTCAAACAGATTACAGACTCTTCCGAGCATTGTATCTCAGGCTTGTTCATATATCCCCCAGCCTCCCGGCATTAACAATTATCTCAGGACTAACATTCTAGTTCTTGGGATGGGGCCAGGAGCAGGTTCTCCTAATTGGACAACTGCTGTGATTGGTTGAATGCTGTGAGTTGAAATGCTTCCAAAAAAGAACTTTCCCCTGGACCAGCTCCACATTTTGCCACAGTGTTAGGCTCTGTCCTTCCTTAATGTTGGCAAATGGTTCCCAGCTGCACAAGCCGAGCCTTGCTGCTTCTCAGCCAGTGTCTGGGAAAACTTTTTTAGGGGCAAGAACAAGCAGGAACAAGTTGATATTGGCAGGGTAGTCCTAGGCGAATCCCAAAGTTGTCCTTTGTCCTTGATCCCCCGCTGTCCTTTTGCCACACCCAATATACCATACTGGCCCCTGGGGTCCCGGCTCCACACTCCTGATGAACACGTGCCCAACCCTCTGCCCTTTGTCCCCTTTTTCTTTAAGGCTGCTGATAACTACTGATCAGTCACAAAGTCAGGTTAATGGGAATTCCGTGTGGTGACATTTTAAAAGGAGATCATCCTTTAACTGTTCTCCAAGAAGGCGAAGCAGAGGAGAAGCTCACCTTAGGGACACCCCATGTTGGAAGTGTAAAGGACCCCAGAGTCTGGGTAGTCCTGGGTTCAAATCCTAACTCCACCCTTCACCAGGCTGTGCCTTACGCAGCTTCTCTGTGCCCCAGCTTCTTGCCTACAAAACGATCAGTGCCCGGCACCCTCTATATTAACACCAGGCCAGCCACAGCCCCTGAGAGAGGATGCCTGCAAATCTTCCTTCCAGGTGGCTGACCTTTTTTACCACCCATGGGTGAGGCTGACCTTACCTCATATGTCTGTGCATTGTTACCCAGTTAAAAATATAATCTGTCTCTTATTTAATTTAAAAATGTTCTCAAATTGGGTCTTTTTTAAACTTTTTTTTTTTCATTGTAAAATATAGTTTCTATGCAGAAAACTTCACAAAACACAGTCTGGCAAATACTTATAAAGGTGTCCCTCATGTAGCCACTTCTCCCCTCCCCACCTCCTGGTCAAGCGTTGGCAAATACTGTTTAAAGTGGTTTACGTATTATTAAATAAAAATTAGAAGAAGCCACTGTTTTGGACTGTGCTGTTGTCAGAGGCTCAACAGACCACACTTAAAACCAAGATGGGGTCAGTGATGTAGAGTTCCACGTCACCACTCCAAAACTAGGTTATCTGAACATCCCCAAACCCAGGAGAACATGAAATAACAGACAAGTTCCGCAGAGCTGGCTAATTTCAACCAGCCGGATAACGATGTCCCCTCCACTTTATTCCTTACCCAAAAGAAGTAACGCAGACACTCAGTGGTGTTAACTGAGCAATTATTTTCCGATCGTTCAGTCTTCCTTTTCCTGCCTTACAAGGGAAGTAGCTGCTTTGTTTCTGCTTTCTTGAGACCTTTCCTGTCTATAAACCAACTCTACTCAGTTCATTGGGACACTTACTCTATTTTATGGAATAAAGTGTTGCCCGATTCTATTAGGTAGTTGGGAAAGTCATGACATAGTTTTCTGTTTTCCTATGCGAAAATGCTTCATGACTTTCCTGACGACCCACTAGAATGAGAATGCCAATGGAAAGCCAGCAGGTGGTGTGGTTAAGGTGCTGGGTTCCAGAGGGCTGACCACTGTTTGAGTCCTGAACCTTGTATCTCGAAACTCGCCAGGTGCCTGTGCGCGTGTGCCTGAAATCCCAAGAGGAGACTAGAGGAGAGGGGATTGCCGTGTGGCCATGCCCCCGATGGATGATTTCTCCGTTTTCCTCTCTCTCTCTCTCATGAGCACATGTGCCTTATGGTGAAAACCTTATAATTTCATCTTTTTTTTTTTTTTGGAGAGATTTTTGCTATAGGGCACGTACGCTCGCCAGACAGACAGAGACAGACAGAAAGCGAGAAATCACCCCCCAGGGGGGATGGCCACACCGCAATCCCTTCTCCTCCATTCTCCTCTCGGGATCTTGGACACACACACACACGCGCCCAGTGTGAGTTTAAGCCACCGGGTCTGGGACTTGAACCGCAGTCGACTACATGGGAGTCCAGCGACATAGCCATTACGCTAACTATTGATCCTGTCTTTTAATCGTTTCTAACATGTTTTTCAACTGAGGACCATTTTGTCCCAGGAGATATTTACCATAGGGCGGGCGCCACCACGCCTGTCCCAGGAGATATTTAGACATTTTTGGTTGTACATCTGGGGAGGTACTTAATATATCGAGGCCAGTGTTGCTGCTAAACACAACAATGCATAGGGCAGCCCCTGACCACAAAGAATGATCCACTAGCATGTCTGTCGATAGCCAGCTCTAACAATCCACTATGCACAAACGCCTGCCTTTCAGAAGCAAAAACAGCAGGAGATGATTTTTAAGAAAAGATACGGACACTTGAGAAATCCGTTAGTGTCAAAACTTAGATTTACATGACACATTATTAGTAATGCTATCCCACTCAACTAATTGTTCTCTGAAGAAAAAGAATGAAACGCCAGCCAGAATTGCAGATAAAAGATCTGAAGTTAATAGACCTTGCTGATCCATCAGTCTGCTTGTGTGCTTTCATTGTCGCCAAGTGCTTTTAATCTCCTCTGTCAATTTGCACCAGTCTTGGGAATCAAATACCACACAAGTTAGTAGAAGCCAGACGGGTTCCATTTTACTAGTAATTAAAGTGCGAATAAATTAAATACCTTATCCTCTCCAACAACTCGCTCCTGTCTTCTTTGCACTGTAACTCTTTGTCTTTCATTTATTGCAGGACTTAATCGTTCGTATTGTTTTTATTCTTGGCAACCTGACGGCAAAGAATAACCAGGCCCGTGAACAATTTTCCAAAGAGAAAGGCGGTGTCCCAAGCCTGGTGTCCTTATTCCAGACATTCCACGAGCTCGATCTGCATTCCCAGAAGCCCATGGGAGAGGGGGCCGTGCAGAAGGCGCCGTCGGAGGTGGAGGATGTGCTGGTCAAGCTGACCCGCGTGCTGGCCAATCTCGCCATCCACCCAGGCATTGGCCAGACTCTGGCCACCAACCAGCAGGTGGTAGGCCTGCTGCTGACCACACTAGGTGAGTGCCACTGCCACCTTGCAGCCTCACGGGCTTTCCTCCTCAGCCCGGAGAGCATTCCGTGCTGGGCGAGGGGGGTTTTTGTTGGCATAGTTGACTCATTTCAAAGAGCCTTCTTAGCTGTGAAGGAAGATTCCTCTTGTGTTCAGAAATGCCTTAAAAGTAATCCAGATTTAAAAAAGAAAACATAGTAACATACACATTATTAAAACCCACTGAATCAGTGACCCTTTAAAAAGGGAGTGAGTTTTATGGTTTGTGAATGAAATCACAAATTCTAAAATTAAACTGATGAAATAAACAAGAGTTGACCAATAGCCACAAAGAGTTTAAAATGCCAAATTTTTCCTGGGACAATCCACACAAAATTAATTTCTTCTTGTTTCACTTGAGATTCTTGCATCATCTTTTTGCTCACCGTCAGTCAGGTTTCATCTTTACCTCTAGATTAGCCAGAATGAAATACCAGAGGTTGGGAGACTTACATTGCAGAAGTCATTTCTCCCATTTCTGCAGACTGGGAAGTTCCAGATCAAGGTTCAGATAATTCAGTTCCTGGTGAGGACTCTTCTTCCTGGCCTGTCAACAACTGCCACTCACCCTGGGCTCACATGGCCTTCCCTAGCACTTGGTGTGTTGGGGGGGGGGGTTCTCTTTCTCTTCTTTTCAGGAGTCCCCATTTTTGTGGGATTAGGACCCTACTCTCATGACTTCATTTGTGTGCCTATTAGAAGCCCTGTTTCCAGATCCAGTCTACTGGGGGTGGGGGGCATCAGTGTGTGACTTTGAGGGGACAGTTCAGTCACAGGACCCCTTTCTGCTTCTTCGGCCCACCACTTCCCATGAGCACCGCTGCCTTCCTTGGGTAGAGGAGTTAACAGCAACCCAAGTCATCAATTTACCCACTATGAGCCAGACTTGAGAAAAGTGTTGTTGTTGTGGGGAACCAGCAGTTAGCGTAATGGCTATGTCACTGGACTCCCACATAGTCAACTGCCGTTCGCGTCCCGGACCCGGTGACTTAAAACTCACGCCGGGCGCGTGTGCGTGCATGCCCAAGATCCTGAGAGGAGAATGGAGGAGAAAGGATTGCAGCGTGGCCATCCCCCGGGGGGTGATTTCTCACTTTCTGTCTCTCTGTTTCTCTCTGTCTGTCTGGCGAGCGCACGCGCCCTATAGCAAAAACCTCTCCAAAAAAAAAAAAAGCGTTGTTGTTGTGGAAGGAAGTTTAATACCTATCATAAATGAAGTTTGGGGCCAGCCATGGTAGCACATGCTGGAAGACGCTGCAGGCTGAAGCCACATGGGAGGCCTGAGCTCCTTTCTAGCCCACCCTAAATCTGGGCATCTGCCTGTACCTAAAGACCTAGGTACTTGGGAAGCAGAGGAGACTCAAGACATAGGGCGACCCATTCCCTGACTTAAAAAAAAAATCATTCCCATGTAGTCGACTGCGGTTTGCGTCCTGGACCCGGTGGCTTAAAACTCAGGCTGGGCGTGTGTGTGTGCATGCCCAAGATCCTAAAAGGAGAATGGAGGAGAAGGGATTGCAGCGTGGCCATCCCCCCGGGGGGTGATTTCTCACTTTTTGTCTCTCTGTTTCTGTCTGGCGAACATATGTGCCCTATAGCAAAAATCTCTAAAAAAAAAAAAAAATCAGAGGCACCCTCATTCAATTGAAGAGTTGTCTGTTGGGTCCTTACTGCATAAACTGTCCTGTGCAGTATATTGCAAGTTTGTTTTAGTCTGCTCAGACTTCCCTAACAAGAGGCATACCGCTTAAACAACTCAAATTTATTTTCTTTCTTTTGTTTTTTAAAGCATTATTTTATTTAACTTTATTTATTTTCATTTGACCAGAGTGGGACATACAGAGAGAGAGAAAGAGAGAGAGAGAGAGAGAGAGAGAGAGAGAAAGTGAGAAAGCAAGTCACCAAGTCTGGGACTTGAACCATGGCTTGGTCATTTGGGAGTCCAGCACCTTAACCACCACACTACCTGAGAGCCCCCTGAGGTTTATTTTCTAACAGCTTTGGAGACTGGAAGTCCAAGATCAAGTTGCCAGCAGGGTTGGTACCTGGTGAGAGCTCATAGGTGCCCACCTTCTCACCGTAATTCCGGATGGTGAAGAGAGCATGCCTTGGTATCTCTTCCTCTTCTTATAAAAGCACCAGGTTCATCAGATTAGGGCCCCACCCTTATAACCTCATGTCATCTTTATCACCTCCTCACAGGCCTGTCTTCAAACACAGTCCTATTGGGTGTTAGGGCTTCAACACAGTCTGGGGAGATAAAGACATATAGCCCATAGCAAGGTATAAAACGACCAGGCTGGTATCTGCGGTCCAGGAACTCAGTGTGTTTAGTAGAGGAATGTCAGGTGCACAGACAAGAACCACATCCTTATGAAAAGTGCCAGAAGCCAGGTGCACACGGGGCTTGAGGGCTGGAGGGACAGAGCCGTGGAGCCCGACAGAGCCGTGGAAAGCACAGTGCCTCACTCTATTGTGGAGCTATATAGTTTCAAAAGCCCTTTTGTATCTCTTACAATAGCGTGAGGGTAAGTTGGTGCTATTTTCGCCATTGCACAGATGGGACACAGGCTCAATGAGGTAGGAGGATTTTTCTAGGTTACAAAGGAAGCAGCAGAGATGCAAGTCCCAAACCTGTGCTCCCCTGCTCTGTGGTCGCCTGTCTCAAGAAAGGATTCTCACGTTCTGCCTGAAACCTGCCTCCCTGAATTGTCATGTCCACATCACAACTCACATATCCACATACTGAGTCCTGAACTCTCTCCCCAGCCCACACGAGGCCCTCTGGGAGAGTACGCATCTAGCCTTCACGGGAATTCAGCTGCTTGAACAACCTCAGGCCTTTCAGCGTTCAGCCTGTAGCATGTCCTGCCTGCGGGAGCTTCTTTCCTGCTGGAGGATCGACCCTCTGGCAGTAGCAGCTCTTCTCAGTCCAGGGTGAGGGGTGGTGCTGCTTCAGAGCCAGCTGCGGGACTCCTTAAAGTACCCCTACTTTGCAGGGTGCTTTGGAGTCCGGAGCTCTGCCGCTTCACTCTTCCCAACCCCCAGGGGATTCTGCTGTCCTCTAAGTGTTGAGAGCCAGCACTTCAGGGGAGCACCCTTGGCTCGCTGGCTCCCGAGGAAGTACCAGGAGCCTGGAACCCCTAGATGAGACTCGTGTTGCAGGCTCAATCCCTCATCTGGGCGCAGCTACCAGGGAAAGGCCCAAGTCCCCAGCCTCAGACACCTGGACTGGAGACCCCTTGTTGTAAGCCATGTTAAGGAGAGTTAGGTGTGATCTGTTTTCCCACAGTTGTTTATATTCCCATATAAAGTGGGGAAATTTCTGGTCCTATAAATATGAGTTTAGAAATTACATTTTTACCTAAAAGCTAGGGGGATAACTAGCTTTTGATTCAAAAGAAGGTGATGCTTTGGGACCAGCAGTTAGTGTAATGGCTATGTCACTGGACTCCCATGTAGTCAACCATGGTTCGCATCCTGGACCCAGTGACTTAAAACTCACACTGGGCACTTGTGCGTGCATGCCCAAGATCCCGAGAGGAGAATGGAGGAGTGCCCAGTCCCCTTCGGGGGTGATTTCTCGCTTTCTATCTCTCTATCTCTCTGTCTGTTTGGCAAGCGCACGTGCCCTGTAGTAAAACCTCTCAAAAAAACAGGGGGGGGATGCTTTGGGGCAGGAGAAAGAGGCTGGGAAATAGATTTGAAGTGAGATAAAAAGGTTAACACAGGGGCCTAGCTCAGGTCCCCTGGTCGGCATCCTTTGGAAGCCGTAGACAGGAGGGGTGGAGCCTCATCTCCAAGGCTTCTGGAAGGGCAGGTTCTCTCCCTTGGTCTTTTAGGGCATTTCCACATATGGCCTCTCCAGTAACCCCTGGAGGTTACTGGTACTCAGGAATAGAATACTTTTCTTCTCTTGCTCGTAAGTGACCAATGAACCTTTGGTCTGGTGGCTCTCAAACTTCCTTGCACATAAGACTCACAGGAGAGTTTAATACCCACACAGATCCTAGGTCCTACCCTCAGAGGTTATAATTCATCAAGTTAGATGTGGGTCCTGGGGATCTGCCTGTTTTGTTTGTTTTACCACAGTGTCTCCCTACATGGCCCATGCTGGATTCAGATACCTGTTCTGTGAAGGCAGGCAAGGTATTTAACTCCTCTCAGCTTCAGTTTCTCATCCGTCAAATGGAACTTCCGGCTGCGGCTCCAGACTTGATTGTGTCCCCTAAAATTCACCCGTTAAAGCCTGACACGCATTGTGATGGCATTTGGAGACAGGGCCTTCGAGAAATAATTAGGTTTAGATGAGGTTGTGAGGTACATCCTCATGATAGGATTAGAGCCTCCTGAGAACAGGTACTGGGTCCCCCATCTCTGCATGTGAGGACACAGCGAGAAGGTGGCCATCTGCAGGCCGAGAAGAGGACCCTCTCCAGAAACTGACCATGCTGGCACCCTGATCTGACTTCAAGCCTCTGAGAAAATAAATTTCTGTTAGTTTAAGCCCCCCCGTTTATGGTACTTTGTTATAGCACTGCAAGGTGACTGAGACAGATGGACTTCTAGAGAATGCATTACTGCGGGCATAAATGCCAGTAAGAGCATTTAAAGTACTATTAATAGTGAACTATCAAGGGGGATGCATGTGCTTGGAGCAGCTCCTGATTAGGCTCAGTAGCTGTGAGTGCCCCTCCTCCTAACCCAGATGCCAGATGTGTGGTCTCACAGGAGGTGGGGACACAAAGGAGCTTCCCTGCGTTTTCTGGGCAAGCTAATGGATTCTGCAAGTAAGGCAAGAGAAAAGACGAATCCCCAAACACTGCCCAAGATCTAGTGCCCTCAGTCCAGGGGCTCAGGGAACCAGGCTGTAGGGCCCTTTGTGCACAAGGGTTAGATGTTCAGCTGAGCCGTTCCCCAAGAGCTATCCTGTGGCCAGCCTGTCTGTTCATTGAACAGAACTGCTTAGTAGTGCTGTGTGCCCTGTCCTCTTTTAAGCCCTTCAACAATATGCATGATGCGTTTAAACTTTGTAACAACTCTACAATGTAGGTGCAGTTGTCACCCCCCCCAGCCCCCCATAGTCCAAGAAACTGAGGCCCAGGGAGGTTAAGCAACTTGAGCAGGGTCCCATAGCCTGTAAGTAGAGCCAGACTTCTAGGTCCAGGTTATGCCTAAGGCAAGTGGTGATACTTTGGCAGTTCGGGGGAGGTGTTGGTTCTGTGTTCCTTCTCCCTCGAAAGCAACTAGGATCCTTCCCTAGATCCTCTAAAAAACTGGGGCCACTAGGCTGTTTTCTTCCTTTAGAAAGCAGACCAAATTTGGAGATAATTCAGTTTCGTTATTCTCTCCTCATATATTTAACCTAAAAACAGGCTGTTAGTGCCTCATTTATTCTTTCATTCTCCAAGTGTTTGCTAAGAGTCTGCTGTGGGGGGGGCCCTGTGCTGGGGCCTCTCCTGGCTCCCTGAGGGTGGAGGGCCACACATGGGGAAGGGTCCACTGTGTCCTCTACAGCATAACAAATGACCGAGCTTCCCTGGGTGTCGTGTGCTATGAAAAGCCTGTTCTCTTGCAGAGAAGGAAAAGAAGGCTGAATTTGATGGTCAGCAAATGAATCTCAGACCCAGCGCAGTCCCTTTACTCAGCTGCTGCCTCCTGCTTGTGCCCGAGGAACTTTGGTTTCATACAGGTCAAAGGCACTTACTGCCAATAAAACACAGTGATCCAGTCACTATCGGAGATGTGTACAACCCTGGGGGGCCTCCCTCCCAGCCTGGAGCAGGGCTTCCAAAGCCAACTAGAGGGAGGGAGGGTGCTGCAGGCATGGGGTGGCAGGGGAAAGGCAGAAGCCCACTCAAGTCGCTGGAACTCTTCCTCTGATTGCCAGACCTTAAACCCAACTGCCTGCCCCTCCTCTCCTTGTGGTGCTTCAAAAGCACCTCAAGGGGCCTGCCAATGTGTAATGGTTAAGGTGCTGGATTCCCACATGGCTGACTGGTTCAAGTCCCACACCAGCAGCTTGCTTTCTCACTTTCCCTTTCTCTGGTCAGATTAAAAAATAATAAAATATTTTTTTACTAAAACAAAATAGAACAGAAATACCTTAAGATATCTAAAGTTGGGGACCAGCAATTGGCATAATGGCTATGTCACTGGACTCCCATGTAGTTGACTGCGGTTCAAGTCCTGAACCCGGTGGCTCAAACTCAGCCAGGCGTGTGTGCATGCATGCCCAAGATCCTGAGAGGAGAATGGAGGAGAAGGGATTGTGGCATGGCCATCCCTTGGGGGGAGGGAGGGTGGTGATTTCTTGCTTTCTGTCTCTCTGTTTCTGTCTTTCTGGTGAGTGCACACCCCCTATAGCAAGAAAAACAAAACAAAACAAAACAAACAAAGAAACACCTCTCCAAAAAAAAAAAAAAAGAAATCTAAAGTTGAATTCATGCCATCTCCCCCAACGTGGCCCTCTGCCCTCACCCTTAATTCAGTGAATGAAGTGGATATCTACCCCATTTTGTAAGCCAGAAACCCAAGGACAGCCAGGTGATTCCTCTACCTCCCATCTAATCCAGTCTTCACTAGGGACAGTCCATCCTCTCTGCCCCGTCCCCCCACATCTACCGCAGGCTGACTGGTTCAAGTCCCACACCAGCAGCTTGCTTTCTCACTTTCCCTTTCTCTGGTCAGATTAAAAAATAATAAAATATTTTTTTACTAAAACAAAATAGAACAGAAATACCTTAAGATATCTAAAGTTGGGGACCAGCAATTGGCATAATGGCTATGTCACTGGACTCCCATGTAGTTGACTGCGGTTCAAGTCCTGAACCCGGTGGCTCAAACTCAGGCAGGCGTGTGTGCATGCATGCCCAAGATCCTGAGAGGAGAATGGAGGAGAAGGGACTGTGGCATGGCCATCCCTTGGGGGGAGGGAGGGTGGTGATTTCTTGCTTTCTGTCTCTCTGTTTCTGTCTTTCTGGTGAGTGCACACCCCCTATAGCAAGAAAAACAAAACAAAACAAAACAAACAAAGAAACACCTCTCCAAAAAAAAAAAAAAAGAAATCTAAAGTTGAATTCATGCCATCTCCCCCAACGTGGCCCTCTGCCCTCACCCTTAATTCAGTGAATGAAGTGGATATCTACCCCATTTTGTAAGCCAGAAACCCAAGGACAGCCAGGTGATTCCTCTACCTCCCATCTAATCCAGTCTTCACTAGGGACAGTCCATCCTCTCTGCCCCGTCCCCCCACATCTACCGCATCATCGTTTGGAATACTGCAGTAGCCTCCTAACATCTCTGCACCTGCCCGTCTCTAGCGGCCAGGGCAATCAAGAGATGAGTCTAGAAAAAGAAGTCACCACAGGTCTTATGTAAAGGTTCATTCCTTCTTGCCTTCCTTCAGTAACTATCCACTGGGTACCCACTATGTGCCAAACACTGTTGCAGGTTCTGGGAATGGAGCAGTGAATAACAGATGAGCCGCTAGTCCACACGGAACTAACCTGTTAGGGCCAGAAGACAAACATTAAACTCATAGGATATTGGGTGTTCGTGTGAACTTTGGAGAAAATTAAAGCAGGGAAGAGAATAACGGATGCAAACTCATATGGGTGGCTAAGGGAAATACATCCGATTGGGCGGCATCTAAGAAATGTTAAGGACAAGGGTGAGGCTGGTGGATGACTAGAACAGAACATACCGGAGAGGAGTGAGTGCAAAGTTTCTCAGGCAGGGTCATGCTGACATGTTCAGAAAAGCAAGGAGATTGGTGTGGTCGACACTGGGGGAACTGGGATAGCAAAGGAGGCCAGAGGAGGAAGGACTGGGAGGCCAGGTAGGGCCTGGGGGTGGAGCGAGTTGGAGCCATTGGTGGATTGTAAGGTAAGTGATGTTATCTGGCTTGTAAAGGATTACCATGTTGAGAATAGATTGGGGGATGGGGGATGGGGGGGCAACAGTGCTAGAAGAGAAGCCAGTAGGAGGTGAGAAATGGACTAGGGAGGTAGAGGAGGTGAGAAGTGATCTGATTCTGTGGAAGGCAGCCTGGATGGTTCTGGATGGATTATGGGCTGAGGATTGCTGTTAGGACGTAGCATATGGGCATTAAAGAGCAGGCTCTGGGGGCCAGCAGGTGGCATGGTGGTTAAGGTGCTGGACACTCCCACATGGCTGACCACGGTTCAAGTCCTGGGCCTGGTGGCTTGCTTTCTCATTTTCCCTCTCTCTCTCTGACCAAATTTAAAATTAATGAATAAATAAAATGTAAAAAGATGCATCAAAGTGGAAAAAATAAACTTACTTTAAAAAAAAAAAAAGAGCAGGCTCTGAGCCAACCCTCTGGAAGAACCCCGGGACAGGGTAGACTGGTGGGATGGGAGACAGCTTAGCTCAGTGGGGGTTGGCTCCTTGGCTGTACTTCAGAGTGGCCTGCCCTTTCCAGACCTGGTGCAGAGATTGAGTATGGTGTGTCTTCCCTGCCAGGCCAGGAGTATCCCTGGCATGTGGTGCATTTCTCCTCTCTTCACAAGAGTCCCAGGAAATAAAGGAGCAAATGGTGTCTCCAGAGTCCTCGAGCAGACCTTGTCCAGTATGGTGGCTCATCCTGGACACTGCTGTCGCTGTAGTTACGGCATCCTCAGCTCCACCCTTGCAATGAGGCTTTGACTCTCTTCTCCTCACTTTGTTTCAGAACGCAAGTCACTAGGAGAGTGTGAGGAGCTGGTGATCAACACTACAGCAACGATCAACAACTTGTCTTACTACCAAGTGAAGAATTCCGTGATTCTAGACAAAAAACTATACATTGCTCAATGTAAGGTTCAGAGCTGGGTTTGGGTAAATGCATATCTATTTAGGGTTTTGATTTTAACTAAACACAAAACTGGAGGCATTCTATTTTATTTTTTCTTTTTTTTGGAGAGGTTTTTGCTATAGGGCGCGTGTGCTTGCCAGAAAGACAGAGAGACAGAAAGCGAGAAATCACCCCCCAGGGGAGATGGCCACACTGCAATCCCTTCTCCTCCATTCTCCTCTCGGGATCTTGGGCACGCACGCACACACACCCAGCATGAGTTTTAAGCCACCAGGTCTGGGACGTGAACCGTGGTCGACTACATGGGAGTCCAGCGACATAGCCATTACGCTAACTGCTGGTCCTGAGGCATTCTATTTTCTGACTTCTGGCACAAATGTCTTATAGCCTGGTCTGAGTCTAAGAAATCTGAATATGGGAAAGTTCGAATATGTCATAAAATTAGTTTCAGCGTTCTTACTGAAGTCTCTTATAGCTTGTATCATACCCTTTTCCATTTTTAAGTGATTAGTACTCAGTATGATATTGGTTTCCATTAGCCTTTAAATTAAGATGTAAATTTACTGATTTTATTTCTCTGGTCACCAAATCCAGTGCTCTTAAAACTTCTTGTGAGTAACAACATGGATGGAATCCTGGAGGCAGTGCGTGTCTTTGGAAATCTCTCCCAAGACCATGATATTTGTAATTTCATTGTGCAGAACAATGGTGAGTTAAAGACATTTTCTTTCACTCACACGCACCTTTGCCAGTCATCGCTATGTGCTTTGGGACCTTGGATCATTGCAACACGATACTTGCTTCTGCTCTGAGATCCGCAGTGCCCACATCCCGGATCATGTGGAAGACTCCCTGCTCAGGGTGCCTCGAGGGATCTAGGCAGGGCTCCCCCCTCTCACAAACGGTCTTTGGAATTCTGAGGTGGGGTGTGTGTGTGTGTGTAAGGGAAACACATGTAAATCTGCACTCATCATTTCAATTCATGGGGAGAGGCTTGAGACAATTTTGTTCATGGACTAGAATGTTCATTACATTTTGCTTGTAAGAGTAAAAAGAAGCAACCTAATGTCCATCAACAGGCAAGAGGATCAATACATTATATATATTCATGCAATAAAGTGCACTACAGAATTAAATAGACTGGTCATTCATCTATCAATTCAACTCAAACACATAATATGGGAGTAAAACAGCTAGTGATAGGAAGACAAATACAGAAAAATGCCACCAATATAAGTTTTAAAGCATGTAAAACTATCTTGGGTATTGTTCACGTATTAGGTCGTCAGAAAAATCATGACACATTTTTACATAGAAAAATACATTATGATTTTCCCAATGACCCAATATACATACTCATGTAGTAATGGCATAAAGTATAAGTTGTATTTGGAAATAACAATAAACTCTTGTTTAAAGGAGGTTTACCTTTCAAGGGGAATGAATGTCCACAGACAAAACTGGACTTGTAATGTCTTTGTTATTTTAAAGTTTTTTTAAAGAGGTTTTTACCTTAGGGTGCATGTGCTTGCCAGGGAGAGAGAGATAGAGACAGTAAGAGGGAAAGTGAGAAATTGCCCCTCCTCTGGGGGAGATGGCCACACCACAATCCCTTCTCCATTCTCCTCCCAGGATCTTGGGCATGTGTCCAGAGTGATTTTCAAGTTACCAGGTTCGGGATTCGAACCATAGTTGGCCATGTGGGAGTCCAGTGACATAACCATTATGCTATCTGCTGGCCCCTTTATTTTTAATTGATATACATATATATCACATATATATATGTGTGTGTATATATATATATATATAGTACTACATGTTGTTTTGAATGGAATGTCTTACTTTTAAAACTGTTTGGCCGGTTCCCAAGTGTCTTTATTGTTTTTGTTTTTGTCTTGGAGTAGGAAGGGGAGGAGGCAGGGAAAGGGAGAGGGAGAGAGGTATTTTTGACAGGGTCTCAGCATGTCAGGATCCTCCTGCCCCAGCCTCTCAGTGAGTAGGACCACTGATGTGCCACCACCCCCAGCATGCTTAGGTAGGGTTGGGAATTGAACTCGGACTCCCCTCATGCAGCCTTAGTCACCCTGCAGCAGCACCCTCCCACTGCCACCACAGCTGGGTCTACCCAAGTATTTTTACTCCTCGTACATCTCAAATAGTTCATGTAAGAAAAATAACTAAAACTTTTAAATGATTTATGTTCATGATAGAAAATATAAATAATGCGGACAACAAAATGCAGCAGCAAACCGTCCTCCATGATCTCGCTGCCCTAGGCGGCTGTCACCATTCTGGTGTGTTCTTCGGACTCTAGGACACGTTACATGCTGTACCTTTGCTAAGCTCACTGCCGACCCAGTCCAGAGGGCCGAGGCAAGCTAGGTGGCCTCCTGTCAGGCACACACCTATCCACTCGCCCCCAGTCCTTGCTCAGCCCCTGTTGGGGGATGAGAAAACAGGACAAACTCCCAGTTCCATTTCGTGGGAGTAAGACAAAGTGATTCTCCAAGCAGAGGCCTGCCCTGCCTTGGAACAGCCCTTCATGGGAAGCCCTGCCTGCAAACAGGTTTGCTTTCAGCAGTCTGTGGCCCTGGGAGGTTTTGGGAGGGACTCTCCAGGGGCCAGCCTCTCTCCTGGGGCTGTGTATTTAAATACCGTGCTGGCATGTTGGGAGTGCCAAAATCTGATGGGCCGGAGGCCTGGAGGACTGGAGGAAGGGGGTCTTACGGGATAGGAGAGTGTTGAGTTGTGTTGTGTAATGGCCCTATCCTTTTCGTTAACATTAAAAACAAACAAACAAACAAAACCCTATCATTTTCAACCAAACTGTCCCATCCTGTAACGGTCGCAGCCTGGTGAGACCCCGGGGAGGGTGTTCTTTGGCCTAGCTTTCTTGTGTGCTCACTCTCTGTCTCACGTATGTGCACTCTCTATCATGAATAAAGGGGGTAGGGCTAAATAAATCAAGATGAATTGCTGCTGGCAGTTCAGAAAGGCCCTTGAGAATGACCAGGATGAGAGATGCATGTCACCTGTGCTCCCTCCTGCGGGCAGGCAGGGGCTCCACCACGGCCTGGAGAGGCAGCTGCTGCCTGGGCCAGGGGCAGCAACGTGGGGACGGGCAGAGAAACTGGGAGCAGGGGAGCAAGCTTTGGGGAACCCACTGCTGTAGGCTGGGTGAGCTCTAGGAAGAGCAGTTAAACTCCCTAAGGGGTTCCAGTTTCGAGGTCACGGCCCCTTCCCCCCAGGTTTAAAACAAGCCAGCTGGGCACCCTGGGCGCTCACGGGCTGCGTCTGCTCTCTGCTCTCCCAGTGCACAAGTTCATGCTCGCGCTGCTGGATGCTAAGCACCAGGATATTTGCTTTTCCGCCTGCGGCGTCCTCCTAAATCTCACCGTGGATAAGGACAAGCGGGCCATCCTTAAAGAAGGAGGTGGCATCACAAAGTAAGTCTCAAGGCATGGAGTCCTGACCCTTCCAGGATGCTGAGGGAGCTCTCCCAGAAGTGAGGGCCCTCGTCGCGCCTCTGAGGCAGACATACTGGAACATTTGGAGGCCCCATGTTAGGCCTAAGGGGAGGCGTAGGTTCCACTGGACACTTAGAATAATCCAGGAGTAAAGTATTGTTACTCTGTAGTTTAAGTGTATAGATGTGAAATTATATTAAATGATCACAAAATTGTCTATCTGTTCAGTAGCACAGAGATTAATAGTCATCATCCTAAAAAATATAAAAATTAAAGACATTCAGGCCCAATAACGTCTTAAATTAACCTTTTTTAACTCAGGTTAGTGGATTGTTTAAGAGATTTTGGCCCTACTGATTGGCAGCTGGCCTGCTTGGTGTGCAAAACCTTATGGAACTTCAGCGAAAACATCACTAATGCTGCATCCTGCTTTGGTGATGAAGACACCGACACACTCTTAGTCCTGCTGTCATCATTTTTAGGTAAGACTCTTGACTATGGTGAGTCTCTGAAAAAATTTTTTTCTATGGCCTGCATGGGTAAATATTAGTATGGTGGCTTTATTTCTATAAACAGCAAGACTGTGTTAACGATGATTATAATTTGGAACTATCTGAGAGTGGCTGAATGTTATTTACAGTGGGGGCAGAAGGACTTTGAACTCATTGGATACTGTCATGATTCCACCTGTGGCTTCTTTTTGTCTTTTGCATTTTCTGTAGGCTGCATAAAGACAAGATCTCAGTATAAATGTATTCCTAGTCTTTGAAAGTTATATAGACACTGTTGCAATTGTGGAAATATGGCTAAGCTACTCTGAATTATGCTTTTAAATGAATCTTGACATCTTAATTGGCAGCTATGTTACTTAGCATGTGGGGAGGGGCTGTGAAACTGGTGTTCCGGTGGGATCCACGTCCTTGAAAAGTAGGAAGTCGCTGATAGAACCCAGGGGGAAGAGAATCACTTCTCGGATTTTGGAAAATGTTCTCATTGAGGCTCAGTAAACAAGTTGAATGTTTTCCATCACTCTTTTTTCAAGATGGAGGAGATACCTCCATTGCTGCCACTGTGTTGCATGGGCAAGACTGTGTGTAGAGAAAGGCTCAGTGTGACTCGGAAGCCACGGGTTCAGATCCTCCTGGCTTTCACTGGTGGTGTGATTTAAATAAAGGAACCTCTCACAGAGCCTGTCTGTTCCTGTCTAAAATGAGGACATGATCATCTCTGTCCCACCCTAGGGAGAGCATCTGAAAATATAATGGAAAGGTCCAGAGGATTGTAATCAGATGGGGATATTTAATGCCTACCTTACTGGGTGGGTAGAGTAATAAATGAGCAGCAAGAGTCTAATACAGCACCTGATACATAGCAAGCCCTCAAAAATGGCTACAGTGCGTTGTAATCTCTGTTGTAATAATACACTTTAAATTGAGACTCAGAAATCATTTGAAAGAATCAAAGTTGCTAGGGTGATGTGAAGTTCGCCTTTTCCAGGTAAATGTAATTGCATGTGTTTTAAGACACAGTAAGAAAAAACTGAGCATGGTTTCAAATGATCAAGGCTGGCAGTCTGCTCTGTGAACATTAGGCTTTCTCAGGCTGTGGGGAGCAGACGTGCCTGACCAGGTTGCCTTAATTCAGTTCCCAGTGGGGGCAGAGCATTGGAATCAGCTGTGGGGTCAAAAACAAAAACCTCTCCTCCTGTCCTGGCCCCAGCCCTGGAATTCTGATTCAGAAGTTCCGGGCGAGGCTGAGAATCTGGTTCTAAGTGTTCCACAGGTGTGTCTGATCTATGGCCAGACTTGAGAACCTTTGCCTTGGTTAGTGAGGGCGTTTAAGGGGAGAAGGGGGCCAGGAAACAAGGTATTGCCCAAAGCCTGCTGGGGAGGCACGTGGGAGCCGCTGCAGCATCATCCCCACCCCAGGGCTCCATCACTGTGGGCCTCAGCTCTTTGTCTCTGCTGGGGTGGAAAATGTTTCCTCCTCGGTCCTACTCTGCTCCCTCTGGACCCCTGCTTGCTCATGGTTTTGGCTACCTGGAGGTTTCTACTTGCAGCACCCGGCATGCGTCTCTCTCGGTGTGACTGCTCTGTTGCTGGCATGCTTTTCTGTCTTCCATCATGGAGATGTGCATGGCTCCGTGAGTCCCTCCCCGTGCGGGGCTTTTGTGTGCGCGTGGGCAGCAGCTGTCTCTGTGACAGGTTATGTGTGGCTTCCTTTGTTACCCTCGTCTGGGGCAGTCGGCTATAAGGAGCCAGATGGCAGGGCCCAGTGGCACGACGACTGCCCCCCACCTGTGGAAGCAGGCTGTGGCACGGATAAGGAAGGTACACGTAGGTCCATCAGCAAGCCCCGGCGCCCAGAGCAGGGCTTCTCACGATCAGGAACTCTCCCTGGGCACCCTGCGGGCCGACGCCCGGCTGCGGGGCCCCGCGCTGTTCCCTGGCTTCTCTCTCAGCGGTGAGGGCACTCGGACTCTCACTTCCCCGAGGGCCGCAGTTGGGTCTGTCCAGCTGGGCAGCAAGTGCCGCGGGCATGTGGCTGAGTGTGCAGTACTTGAATTTCAGCTCTTTTACGAAGACAGCTAAAGAGCAGACTGTTTGGAGAATGGGACGAGTGCCAAGTCACAGAGGCCCAAGGCGGAGTATGAGCATGACCCTGGAGATGACGGCAAGAGAGTTGATACAGCAATGAGAGTGACCTGGTCATTATTGATGGCTGACCAGAAAAAAGAAAGTAAAGGCCCTCAACATGGCTGATGTGATGGCAGTCTTTCTGGAAAGTGGCTTGAAAAGAATGTTACCTACCACGTCCTGGAGTTGCAGAGAGGAGCTGGTTAGCAGCGTGCCTGACTCTCAGGTCTGCTCTGAGCCTCTCGGTGGAACTGCCAGCTGGAACCGACTGGTGCGAGCAATTTATTGCTGCAAATGTAAATGTACAAGGTAACTGTTCATCACAAGGTGTGTGGAAATTGACACGTAGGTGTTGTGACAGGAAGAGAGGCCTGGTGTTCAAGTCGGAGAATCGCATCATTAAGCCTAGACCAAAGGGCTAGCAGGTGCTTCTGGAAAACGTGGGGATTGTGCCTTCTGAGAGAGAAGTTGGGCACGAATCCCTCAAATAGCTGCCTGTCCCCAAACAGCAAGCTAGACATGGTGCAGGAGGCTTCTGTTGGTACTACCTGCAGGACACGGAGTCTGTTCATTGTCTTGTCTTTTAACCCTTTCTAATGCATTGCCCCAAATTTTGGTTTTTGGAAATATGCTGTGACCAAAGAGGCCTAAGAGTGATCAGCTAAGTGAGTGCTTTTTACAATGTGGGTTGTGAAATCAACTTAGTAGGATATGATTATTATCTTTAAAAAATGTAGTGAAGATGTAATCATGCCATTTGCTGGTCCCGTTACTGGACTCTTCTGTAGTTGACTGTGGCTCAAGTCCCGGACCCAGCAGCTTAAAACTCACACTGGGCACATGTGTGTGTGTGCTCAAAATCCCGAGAGGAGAGTGGAGGAGAAGGGATTGCGGAGTGGCCATCCTCCCTGAGGGGGGGAGGGGGATGATTTCTTGCTTTATATTTCTCTGTCTTGCCAGCGAGCACATGTGCCCTATATAGAAATCTCTTTTAAAAAGAGAGAGAGAATGGGAGAGGGACATAGTAGAGAAGGGGTCAGTAGATGGTATAGTGGTTACATCACTGGACTCCCATGTGACTGACTGCAGTTCAAGTCCTGGACCCAGTAGCTTAAAAAATAGAGGAGAAGAGATTGCAGTGTGGCCAATCCCCCCAGAGGGTTACTTCTCCCTCTCCTCCCTTCCCCCTCCATCCCCCCTCCCCCCTCCCCCTCCTCTCTCCCATCTCTCTTCCCCCAGCAAGTGAGCGCATGTACCCTAAGGCAATGAAGTAAAGAAAAACAATTAGAATGTGTTATATGTTGGAAGGGTAAATAATCTGTGAAACTTGTTTGTTATTGGTACGTAATTTCTGTGTATATGTGTACAGAAGTCATGACAAACATGTATTACTGTAGATCACAAAGCTGGAATAGCATACATCCAAATCGTTAGGAAAGCAGCCTCTGCTGCCCTTCGAAGCACAAGTTTCAAAATGTAATCCTCAGTGTAATCACTCCTTATGTATTTGCCATATTGACTTTGAAACTTCAGACTGTCGTTCTCTTATCTGTAGCTCCTTGGCCATTCTTATCTTGTCTAACCCAATTTAGAATTAACATGGTCCAAGTGCAGTGTAGATGAACTAATTACAGACTAGGCCTCAAGAAAAGTAATGCGGTCTTGACATTAGATTAAAAAAAAAAAAATTTTGCTGAAGTCACCAAATCTGACCAAAGCCCTGAGACAGCAAGGGACTGTGAAGTGCTTGGGTCAGACCGCTTCAGCGCCAAGGAGTTTGGGAAAGACGGAACAAAACAAGCAGTCATTTTTAAGCAGAAGCTTAGTGCTCAGAAAGTCTGGAGAAGAGGACACAGAAAAGATGACCTTGGAATCAGAAATCACTCGGCGCGTCTAACTGTCTTCTGGTCAGAAGCACAGATGGAAGGCCAAGCAGGCAGCCGGCGCCCTCCTGTGCAGTCTGCGCTCTCCTCCCCTCCCTGGTTATCTCATGGGTGGGGAGGTCCGGGTTTGCTTACAGGGTCTCCATGGAGGCCTTGCTGAAGTGTTTGTGTCTGCCTGGAACTTATCTTGGAGCTGCATAGCTGTCCAGTTGGTGGCGAGGAGGGGAAGGTACAAACTGGGATTCTAGACTCCCTTATCTTATTCTGGGTGGTGACACCGTACCCACAGTGCCAAAGTACACACTGAGCGCACATAAACATTCAGTGTAGAAAATCTGTAAACAGAGGAATGAAGCATTTTAAGCTGGCCCTATGAAAAAACCGTTTGCAACTTAGGTAATTGGCAATATTTGTGGTCATTTTAGGACTTAGTGGTTACCTTTGAAGTCGGCCTCAGGCCGCAGACCTAGGAAGTGGCCCAGCCAGTCTTTGGCCTAGAGGCCAGTGCGGGATCCTGAAGCCCGCTCAGGGCGGGAGGCCCAATATAAACAAGTGAAAGTGCATGGAAACTCGGCCACTTATCTCCCCACCTGGGTCAGATACACTTAGTGTTCACAGCATTCAGGGTGTCCTTGGATTAAGAATCCAGTTAAAGGGACCAACAATTGGCATAATGGCTATGTCGCTGGACTCCCATGTAGTCGACCACGGTTCGATCCCCGGACCTGGTGGCTTAAACTCACACCCGGCGCCCAAGATCCAGAGAGGAGAATGGAGGAGAAGGGATTGCAGCGTGGCCATCCCCCCTGTGGGGTGATTTCTCGCTTTCTGTCTCTCTCTTTCTCTCTCTCTGGCGAGCACACGCACCTTATAGCAAAAACCTTACCAAAAAAAAAAAAATCAAGTTAAAGTTGTTATTTAGCATTTTGTTTTACAAGTGCTTTTCTCCATTATCTATGGACTAATTTGGGATTCTAATGCTTGTTGGGATTCTGAGTTCTCTGGTTACCACAGTTCTTGGAGAGACTGGGGATGCAGAGTTGTTTTCTTAAAGAAGTATATCTTGACTACTTTGAAGCCAGCAAAGTTCTGATTTTCAGTCAAGTTTAAGGGTCAAGTGTCAAGTTTCCAGCCAGCTCACGGCATGGTGGTTAAGGTAGCTGGTTCCCACATGGCCCTGTGGTTCAAGTCTCAGACCCAGCTCTGGGTACATGTGCACGTGTGCCCGTAAATTCCAAGAGGAGAGTGGAGGAGAACTGCGGTGTGGCCATCACCCCAGGGGTGTTTTCTTTTTTCTCTTTTTGAAGAGTGTGTGTCCTATAGCAAAAAAAACAATAACAACAAAAACAGGCTGAAGTTCAACTCGGCTGCTTTCCCAGATTTTCTGACTGATTTAATATGTCAACCATTGAAGTAATTAACTTTTCTAATGTACATGTAAGGAAGTAACTTACTGATACTTTGGTTTCTGGAAAATTGTGATCTGACTTTTGGATGAAAACTTACATATAAAAAACTAAGAGATTCATTGAAATAAGGATGCAGGGCTGGCACGTAGCGTGGTGGTTAAGGGTGCTGAACTCCCAAATAACTGACTGTGGTTAGAGTCCCAGACCTGGCGACTTGCTTTCTCACTTCCCTCTCTCTCGTACTCTGTCCTTCTCTGGTCAAAATTTAAAATAAATAAGTACGTGAATAAAGTTAAATAAAATAATTCTTAAAAGAAATAAGGGCCCAAGTCAATGTAGGATTAATTTTTAGAAAAGTATTACCTTTAGGACAAGCAGATGGTATAATGATTAAGTCATTGGGTTCCCATGTAGCCTACCAAGATTTGAGTCCCAGACATAGCAGCTTAAAACTCAGGCCGGGCACATGAATGTGTGTGCCCAAGATCCTGAGAGGAGAAAGGATTGTGGAGTGGCCACCCCCCCCCCCGGGGGGGGGGGGCGTGATTTCTCACACTGTCTCTCTGACTCTTGCTGTCTCTTCAGTGAGCACACATACATTATAGCAAAAATCTCTTAACAATTATTACCTTTAGAAATTAAGAGATTAAAATAAAATATACTTAATTAAAAGTATTTGGGGACCAGTGGATGGTGTTATAGTTATGTTGCTGGACTCCCATATGGGCAACTGCAGTTTGAGACCCAGACTGAGCAACTTGAAACTCAGGCTGGGTGTGTGCATGCCCAAAATCCCAAGAGGAGAATGGAGGAGAAGGGATTATGATGTGGCCATATCCCCGGGGGATGATTTCTCACTTTCTGTCTGTCTGTCTCTGGTAAGCACACATGCCCTATGGCAAAAATATATCTCTCAAAAAGATATATGTATGTGTGTGTATGTATATATGTGTGTGTGTGTGTATATATATATATATATATATATATATGTAAAGAACACTGGGCAGATAAGAATTTCTCCTGTAAAAACGTCTTCTTGCCCCAACTCATTTCTTCTGTCATGTTAGTATTAAAGATCCAGGATGTTGGGCCAGCAGGTGGCATGGTGGCTAAAGCACTGGTCTCACATGGCTGACTTTCACTGTTCAAGTCCTAGACCTGGCAGCATGAAAACCACACCAGCCATGTGCGTGCGTGCCCAAAATCCCAAGAGTAGGGGAGAATGGAGGAGAAGGGATTGCAGCATGGCTATCCCCCCAGGAGTGTTTTCTTACTTTCCTCCTCTCTCTGTTTCGTCTCTCTCTTGCGAGCACATATGCCCTATGGTATAAAAAAAAAAAATTGGGAAAAAAAATCCAGTATAATTTTAACCTGTGTCATCGAAAACTAAATTTCATGGGACCAGCAGTTGGTGTAATGACGATGTGAACTCCCGTGTAGTCAACCATGGTTCGAGTCTTGGACCTGATGGCTTAAACTCACGCCAGGCACATGTGCATGCATGCCCAAGATCCAAGAGGAGGATGGAGGAGAAGGGATTGTGGTGTGGCCATCCCCCCAGGGAGTGATTTCTTGTTTTCTGTCTCTCTCTGGTAAGCGCACATGCCCTATAGCAAAAACCTCTTAAAAAAAAACAAAAACAAAAACAAACCTAAATTTCATTTAATAGGATTACATTTCCAAATAATTGCTGTAATTTTAATTTTTTTGATACAGATGAAGAACTAGCACTGGATGGCAGTTTTGACCAAGACCTAAAAAACTACCACAAACTCCACTGGGAAACAGAATTCAAACCTGTGGCACAGCAGCTTCTAAACCGAATTCAGAGCCATCACACCTTCCTGGAACCCTTGCCTTTCCCCTCTTTCTAACATGGTGCATTAACTACAGCAACAGCAGTCAGGTCTCCCTCATTCTTAAGCAGTGGTAACAGACATGAAGTTTTTCTTTTCAGTATTGAAATATCGAAAGCTTTTCAAGTACTGATTTTAGTGAGTAGCCTAAGCATTTCCTCTTGTTAGGTATTATGCAGAAATGTATATGCATGTTATATTTTCTGCTATGAGAAATGTAAGATGAAAATATATGCATTTTTAAAGTAAATGACTTTTCTATATTAAGTAATTTAGTTCTAGTCTTAAAATTCTGATTTGACAATTTTGGAATTTAAGTGCTCATCAGTTTGTTAGTTAAATGCACTGTGCAATGAAGACTGTTAGCTTTTGTACAGAATAAGACTATTAGATTTCATACGTAAGTCAAGAGGAATGGAACACAGTACTTTGAAAATAGCTGCACTAATTCTTACTACATCTAGTGATCCATTTCCTGATTAGATACTAGTGATTTTCTGGTCCTCATACTAGGAGAAGAAAAGGGAAAAAAAAAAAAAACACAAAAAAAACAAGAAAACTCCTTTAGGAGTCATCTACTCCTAAAAGTCATCTACTCTTTATTAAATAAGTAAAATAGGTTCAGAAGGGAATGTTTTACCATTTTCTTTTCATTTGAAGTGAACCAGGCAATCTTTTTAATTGTTACTGTCTGTTCCTCGACAAGAGGCATTGGAAAGTACCGGAAAGATGGCAGGCTTCAGTGCGGCAGGTCTCAGTTTGAATCCTAGCCCTCCCCTGCTAGCTGTGTGGGCTTTGGGCAAGTAATTTAATTTCTTGATCTTGAACTATAAAATGGGAATACTATTTATTATAGGGTAGTTTAGAAAAACCTATAGATGAGCAGATTATCTGGTTTGCTATCTAGTAAGTACTCAGTAAGTTATAGCATGATGATGGCAAAATCTTTCTTTGTAGGATAAGGTTGGCCTTTGAGTGAATGATAAGCAAAAATAGAGATTACTATTGTTACTCTGTACTAGTGAAACAGAATATGTGGAAATAAATGCAAATTTACTATTCTGCTTTGAGTAAAGCTGTTATTAACTGTTCATCTTCCTCCCTACAAAAAAAAAAAAGAAACAAACAAACAAAAAAAACCAAGATTCACAGGATAAGGACAGGCATCCCGGACTGGATGGGCTCTCAAAGCCTGTTGTGGAAAACCTATATTTCCAGGAACAAATAAGACTTTCTAAAGGTGGTGCTAGTTGAGGGCTCATCCCTGGTTAGGGCTCAGCAAAATCTTCTAGGGGCACTCAGTTTATTATAGTCCACAATCTGTATCATGTTAATAGATTTGTTACCAGGGAGACTCATCCCTTGGGGTGTCCACCCGAAAGGTGGCAGGTCTTGGTGCAGGAAAGAATTTGAGAACAAGCCTTTTAGAGAAAGCAAAAGCACATATTTATTAAGGAAAGTGTACAAAGCACATTACTCCATAGGTGGGGCAGCCCTTCTAGGGGAGATGGGTGAACAGTTCAGTTCCCTCCTCATGTGGACAGGATCAGAGAGCAAGCCTGGGACGAGTTTCTGCTGCCCACTGCTGCTCCAGCTGCAAGCCTTCAGAGGAAGGAGAAAACTTACCTGGAAGGTGAGATAGAAGGGCTACCTAACAGGCAGGGTGGCCTCTGACTTCAGTGGACTTCTGGCTTCTTACATAGCTTGGCTTAATGTCCGGCCAGGTAATGGATGGGATGGTTTATTCATGACTTCGCTGGGAAAGGGATGGTGGTCTTCCTTGAACCATGGTCTCTCCCATTTTCTGGCCCTATATGGAAGTTTGTCATAGTCATGGTAATTGAAAGTTGTCCATGGAGTGGATGGATATGTCATTTAACATACTAATGAAGTAAAACGAGGATATAATGAGTTTGAAGGTCAGGTAGTGATCATTTCAGATGCCATCTTGGTTCCAAGTGTTCTAACTGGTCTCTTAGTCCCCTCTTATCCTATCAGGTATTATTATTTTATTGTAGGTGTTGGAATGTCTCTTCCTTCTCCAGAAAATCAGTTTAAGTCTGATGGGCTAATCTCTCCAAAACTTTTAAGGATATAAATCTGTATTTTATACACAACAATCTATATATTGTACCTTGTGGGAAAAATCAAACTCTATTTATAGCTAATATAATAAACCTATGGTGAGGAAATTACATCTGCTCTCCATACTGACCCCTCTCCTTCAGACTCATGTGCAAGCTGGACCATTTGGAACTGTCTCCTTGCCTTAAAAATATATATATATTTTTAGGGATCAGCAGATGGTGTAATGGTTACATTGCTGGACTCCCACATGGCCAACTGTGATTTGAATCTCATACCCCATGGCTTGAAACTCACGCCGGGCACATTTACATGCATGCCCAAAATCCTTAGAGGACAATAGAAGAGAAGGGATTGCAGCATGACCATTCCCCCTAGAAGGTGATTTCTCACTTTCTGTCTGTCTGTCTGTCTGTCTCTGTCTCCAGTGAGCATGCACACCATATAGCAAAAATCTCTCTAAAAAAAATTCAAAAACATAAAATTTACCATCTTAACCATTTTTAACTGTACAGTTCAGTAGTGTGCAGTATGTTCACTGTGTTCTGAACTTGAAAACTTTTAGAACTTTCCGACCTCTAGAAATTTTTCATCTTGTAAATTCCATCCCCATTAAACAACAACTCCCCCTTCCCTCTTCCTCCTTGCCTCCGGCAACCATAATTCTACTTTCTGTTTCTATGAATTTGACTACTTTAGATAGCACCTATAAATGGAACTGTGTAGTGTTTGTCTTTTTGTGACCAGCTTATCTCACCTAGCATAATGTCATCAAGTTCACTTGTGTTGTAGCATGTGACAAGATTTCCTTTTTAAGGTTGGATAATTTGTCATTGTGTGTATGTACACATTTTGTTTATCCATTCATCTGTCAATGGACATTGGAGTTGCTTCCATATCATGGATACTAGGAATAACGCTGCTGTGAAGATGGGTGTGCAAATATCTCTTGGATATCTTTATTTCAGTTCTTTTGTACATATACCCAGAAGTGGTGTCTTAGTTTCAGCTGCGAACACAAAAATACCCTAGTTTGGGTACTTAACTAACAAAAGTTTATTCCTCATTCAGTTCCTAGTGAAGGCCCTCTTCCTGGTTTGCAGAGGATGTTTTTCTGCTATACCTTCATGTGGTGGAGAGAGCAACAATCATTTCTCTTGTGCCCCTCCTTATAAGGGCACTACTCCTATTCATGTCATTCTACCCTCATGACCTAATAATCTCCCAGAGACCACATAGGGCTTTAGCATATGAATTTGGGGGAATACATAAGCATCAAGTCCATAGCAAGTAGAATTAATCATAGGGCAATTCTATTTTTAATATTTTAGAAAGCTCCATAGTGTTTCCCATAGCAGCAATACCATTTTACATTCCCACCAACAGTATACAAGCCTTCCAAATTCTCCACATCCTAGCCAATACTAATTATTTTTGTTTTTATTAGTAGCCATCCTAATGTATGTAAAGCAATATCTCAATGTGTTATCATTTTGTCCTTCTCTTATAATTAGTCATTAGTCATGTTGAGCATCTTTTTTGTTTGCTTTTTAAGACAGGGTATTACTGTTACAGTCGTCCTGCTTCCGTCTCCCAAGTAAGCATGCTACCATGTGTGACTTTTAGGGTAGGCCAGGAATTGAACTTGGGTCTCCCATGTGGCTCGATAGCTCATGCCTATTGAGCATGAGCTATCACAGCTGGGCATTGAGCATCTTTTCATATTTTTTTGTTTCACAACTTTTGTTTGTTGGCCATTTGTATATCATCTGTCTTTGGAGAAATGTCTTTTGCCTGTGCTTTTGATGTCCTGTTCAAGAAATCATTGCCAAATCCAATGTCGTGAAGCTTTCCGCCTGTGTTTTCATCTAGTTTTATGTCTTAAGTTTTGATAATTATTTTGCATATAAGATTAAGATCTTTTTTCATTCTTTTGCATGTGGATACCTAGTTTCCCCAGTATCATTTATTGAAAAGACTGTCCTTTTCCCACTCAGTAGTCTTGGAATCTTTGTCGACGATCACTTGACTATATGAAGGTTTATTTCTGGGTGCTCTGTTCTTTTCCATTGTTCTATACATTTGTCTTTATGCCAGTGCCACACTGTATTAATCACTCTTGTCTTGTAATATAATTTGAAATTAGGCAATGTGAGACTTCCAACTTTGTTCTTTTTCAAGATTGTTTTGGCTATTCAGGGTATCTTGAGAATCTATATGAATTTTAGGATGGGATTTACTTTCACAAAAAATGCCATTGGGATTTTGATAGAGACTGCATTGAATCTGTAGATTGCTTTGTGTGTAGTACTGACGTCTTAATAATAATAAGTCTTCCAATCCAGGGACATGAGATGTCTTTCCATTTATTTATATCTTTAAGTTCTTCTAATAACATAATTTTCAGTGTATAAGTCTTTCATCTTGTCTTAGTACAAGCTGTTAAATCAAAACAACAGACTGGGCAATTTATAGACAACAGAAAATTATTGCTTATAATTCCAGAGGCTGGAAAGTCAAAGATTCAGTGTCTAGAAGGGTTTCTTCCCTCATGTATGGTGTCCTCTAGCTCTGGCCTCACATAGTAGGGAAGAACATGCTCCCCAAGGCCTCTTTTATTAATATAAGAGCACTAATACCATTCATAAGAATGGAGCTCTATTGACCTAATCATGTCCGAACGCCCCACGTCTTAGTATGAAAACATTGGGGATTAGGTTTCAGCACATAATTGGGAGAGGACACATTCAGACCAGAGCACATTTTTTTTGGTTAAGTTTATTTCTAAGTATTTTATTATTTTTTGATGCTACTGCAAATGGAATTATTCTCTTAATTTCCTCTCTAGATTGTTCATTTTTAGGGTATAGAAATGTAACTGATTTTTGTGTGTTGATTTTGTATCCTGTAACTTTACTGATTTTGTTTATAAGTTCTAACAATGTGAAATCTTTAGAATCTTTTACATATAAGATTAAGTCATCATATCCAGCAGATGGTGTGGTGGTTAAAATGTTGGACCCCCACATGGCTAACCTCAGTTC